ACACATACCTCTGGTCAGACTGTATTATTCGTTAAGTACTTCTATAGGTCTGTGTCTGGTGCTAACAGCTGTTTAGGGTCCGATCTTCGTCCAGTGTTGGTAGTGGTTTAACATTCAGTACCGGCGGCAGAATAGCCCCATTAGCATTTCAAGTAGGAATAGCTCCGTTAGCGCTGCTTGTCTTAGATGTTTCACCCAGTGTCTGTAACGAAGTGTCCGGTTTGGCAACAGCTGTGCTGTTTAGGGTCTGGCCTTGGTCCAGATGGATCAGTGGTTTCAGAACCGGAGGCAGTATAGCTCTGTTAGCATTTCAAAGAGCTTCCAGCTCTGCCTGTCTCAGCACAGCGAACGGCATGTATTTTTTAGTCATTAAGGTAACTATCACCTGTTAGAGACTTTGCTAGTTTTGCTTGTACAAATGACTCAAAGTCATCTGGAGAAAAATTTTGAGGGCACTGATTAGGTCCTTCAGAAGTTGCGCTCCACTCCAGTTCTCGCACTGTGCTCTTATTTTTTTCATGTGGGAAACTATCCAAATTCACCTCACTTTTTTCTTTTTTCTTTTTTTATTACAGCCAATACAGTGATCCCTCGCTATAATGCAGTTCACCTTTCGTGGTCTCACTGCTTCGGATTTTTTTGTGCAGTTTTTTTCACAGTGCATTGTGTTCTGCGTCCTGATTGGCTAAACAGTCTCCAAGCTACTTCTCTACCTGTGTGCCAATAACGTTACGGTATTTAAATATAAGTAATACAGCTTGGCCATTCAGGAGATGAAAGCTGAAAACTTTGAATGCCTGCTGGAAAAATCTGTGGCCAGAATCAGTGCAAAACCCGACCGGAGGCTCGCTTGACCAGATCCATCACTCTGCCGTAGATACAGCTGTGAATCTCGCGGGGCAGGTTGGAGGAGACGCTTTAATGACACGACTCCAGATCACATTAAGGCCCAATTGATGCACACGCACATCCGCTGACCTGAAAACAGGTTTTGTTCTTTGGTTTCAATGTAGAGTATTTAATTATGCTGTATAATAATTGTAAAAACTAAAGGTAACTCTACTTAGCGGATTTCACTTATCGCGGGTTATACTTAACATCTTGATTAACCAGAATAGGTCGTGTAGTTAGGTTTTTGCGCACCGTTTGGCTGGTTTTCTCAGGCGAGGTTGGCGTTGGCTCGCTATGGGGGCCATTAAATCTCAACATTTCCATGTTGGACACGTTTTATTTTGTTTTGTTCTTTTTAGTGTTGGCTGTTAAAGCAGATTGAGTGTCCTTTTCCCAAAATAGGGGTTGTATTGTAGGTCAGATAAACTCCAACACTTTTACGGTCCATTTCTGTGGACAGACACTTGTTCTCTTTTACATTCGTTTTGAGGCTGAACCTTTGGAGTGAGCTCCGAAACTTCAAGTGCTAAAATTGTGTGTCAACTTTGTTACAACAGTTTTGACACCCGGGACCTGTAACATAATGCATACAATATCAGTACATATCGGTTATCGACTATAACTGTCTCAATAATTTCAGGTGATACATTAAGACAGTGTTTTTCAACCACTGTGTCGCGTCACACTAGTGTACCGTGAGTGATCGTCAGGTGTGCCGTGGAAATTATCCAATTTCACCTACCGTATTTTCCAGACTATAAAGCTGCTACTTCTTTCCTACACTTTGAACATGCGGCTTTTCTGTGGATTTTCCTTCAACCACCAAGGGGCTCTTTAGCAGGAAGTGAATCATTGGAAGTCAAAATTGTAAATCAAAGAACATGCTAATTTTCATTTAGAACAAGCACATGCTAGCAGCAGGCACGACGGAGAAATGTTTTCAAACTCATATGATGCAGCTTCTAAGTTGAGGAGTATCGATCTGGCAGTACAGGAGGGAAATAGAGCCACTGCACGTAAACTCGGCGTGAACAAAACCGGATTTGGAGACGGAGAACTGCGTCCTTAATATATCCAGCAGTTATTAGGACGCAGCCCTCTGCTGCCCTCTGCTGGGTCTTTATGGAAAACCGAGAGCGGCAGAGATGCCAGCGGCCTGTAGCCCGGTGCGGCTGATATATGTAAGTTTCCGGGGGGGTTCAAAAAATTTGAAGGTACGGTTTTATAGTGTGGTGCGCTCATAGTCCGGAAAATACGGTAATTGGTCTTAAAAGATTTTTTGAAAACGAATCAATTATCTGTAAATGATGCCATCTTTGAGTGTCTCTGCTGTAGTAGTGACTAGCGGCGTAATCATGTAATTTTATTACTACTAGATGGCAGTAGGTACAGAGCATTTTACGTTTAAACAAGAGAATTAGTGTTGTGGCACTGTTCAGGTGTATTTTTTTGAAGTGGACATGTTAAGTGCAATTTGAAATAAGAAATGTAAAATATGATAAAAATAAATTTTGTGTTTATTTGATTCCTATTCAAGACACTTTGATAAGAATGACTATATATGTAATATAGGCGGCTACAGAGTATCTTTGTTTGCATTTTTGGTTGGTGGTGTGCCTCATGATTTTTTCAATTAAAACAATGTACCTTGGCTCAAAAAAGATTGAAAAACACTGCATTAAGAGATTCAAAGTGGTTTCAAAGGGATTGTCAAGTTTACTTTGTAAAAGTGCAAAGAATAATATTCATTGTTTGGTTGTTGAGTTACCATAGTTACAATCAGAGGTTTAGTCCTTCCTTTGTATTTGAGCTCAGTTTGTTTACTAATACAAGCCAGCAAATAAAAACGTGATCTGGATGTCAACAGCAGCGCTGGTCGTCTTTGCTGACTCTTTGTTTATTTTCTCTTCAGATTGTGTCAACTCTGTAACAGCACAGTTCTGACACCCGGGACTTGTAACACTTGATTAGTAAATTGAGTCAGTTTTTAGGCTCTAATCTTGGTCAGATTCTTATAGGATATAAAATACAAAATGTTTTTTAATTTGACAGTTAAATGTTGTTTCCCTGTGCTGCTGGAGCGTCCTGCAGTTTCGGTTGTCTAGAGACAAACATCACACACCCGCTACTCCACCACATTCTGAGAAGTCAAACTCAGGCTGTGGTGCGCATCCCATATTTTGATTTCTGAAAGGTGGCATCTCCAGTAAAGAATATGAATAACTTTTGCAACCACCCTTCTGCTGGTAGCTACAAAATTGTAAGATAGAAGTCATTAATGTTAATGAAATGTTTCCCCAAACACAGTTGAGGGAGAGAGCTCGTTTTTAGTGCTCTCTTAGTGCAGGTTTGTGCTGTTAAAATTTTTGTTTTGCCCTGTGACTGAACCTGCAATGGACAGAGGAACAAGACCATCCCAGATATGATAGCTTATGTAGGCTACTTTTGAGAAAGATGGACACAACAGAACAAAATGAGAAATTATGAATCATATCAGAATATGCAAAATATCTGGCATATAGCACTTATGTCAATATTTTAAAATGATATTCTAAACAACTGTTGGAAGATGTCAGTGATTTTGCATTAATATAGAAAGTGAACCTAAACATTACAGCACTAACAGGCAGTGGTGTATATTTTAGCTACCTGTGGCTAAAGCTGCTGCAAGCTGGCTTACTTTCCAGTCAGAGGCTGTTTCTTTTATACACAATTGAGAATGGTAAATTGATAATGACTGATAATGGTATCACGGCTAACCAACACATAAATACTGCTATTAATAAGGGCCAATTAGCACAGGATTTGCTAATTAAATTAGGAAATGGACATCTGAACCATGAAGTAAAAAACATAAGCTCCACACCGATTAGAAAAGGAATGGGAAATAAAGAATCAAAACTGACTTTTGGTGTAATTTTGATTTGAAGTTATTGTGTTAATAGTACCACTTACCTGTGCAGCAGGGCTATTTCCTGACTAATATCATCGAGCTCCTTGATGCCACTGAACTCCCCTGAACCCACTGAACTAGAGCTGTCCTGTCAATACAGAAACATAAAAGAAAGAGGTAAGAAGCTTTGGAAAGTGAACTTTGATCATAAAAGAAAACAGATGATTAAGACGCAGTAAACGATATAGGGACTAAGTGACAGAAACGGAGATAAAGAATGATTATTAATACAGCAGGAAACAAGCAGTACATATCTTTTTATCAATAGTTGGTCACATAGGGGCAGGAACCGCATTTGTCCCACCAATGAATTTCACCGCAAATCCTAAGCAATGCCGTGTGGAACTTTAATGCTCTGAGAGTGATGAGAACTTTGCATATTGCGATGGAAAAATATCTCGGGGTGAAGCCCCGAGATATTTTTCAAAATGCATAAACACAATCAATTTAATATGACATTTAAAAAACAAGCACTTTACATCTATATTGAGGGTCACTGCAGAAAAAAAGATATGCAGAGTGGTCAGACAGCAAGTAGTGCAACGCACCATTCCCAACACTCACTCGAATAATCATGACAGTCAGAAAGCTAAGTAAATAACCCGGAAAATAATTTACACATTATTAGTTAGTTGTTTGTTTGTTTTTTGTTGTTGTTGTTTATTTGGAGGCTTACTGCTCTTTCTGTATGCTAAATGTGACTCTGCAGTGAAACTAGCTAAATATGAATAAGGTGACTTTTAAACAGTCAAATCTAGTCAAAATGTTTGCCATAAAGAGTAGAAACTAAGCAGACATTGTCGCTTCACTTCCTCCTCCGGATGTCTCAGACACATCACCTGGAAATGTGTAACCCACATTTAAATATGACTTTATAAACATAAAACAAATTAAAGCCGCAAGCGGCGTTGGAGGCCCTCGCAGCAAAGCGCGCCGAAGGCCGATTGGCAAATGTGGGGGTACCAGCACCGCCACCCTCTCGCCACCGCCGATGCTGTCGCGCAATTCCCACAGCTACCTGCCAGGCGACACACACCTACATCTTGGAAGGGGGCGTGGCTAAAGTGATGTCACCAATTGAATGCAATGAGCTCTCCTCTGTGATGATACTAATGAAGTTTGATGCAGTTAGGAGCTTCTTTGGGGAAGTTATTCCATCTTGAGATTTCATGGCGAATGGTCAGATTTGAGGCTTGGGCACGCCCACATGCTTTGACATAGGAAAATTCCTTTGATAACTTTTGACCCTCAAAGCCTCAAGACTGTGCTGACTGAGTTTGAAGCCTGGATCTCAAAAGCTCTAGGACGAGTTCGCTCAGATACAACATCAATGAAATAGACTGTTATTACGCAGTATTCAGCCACGCCCCTAACTCCTCCCAGACTCCAGCGGACTGACTACTGGCCAGCTCTCCAACTAACGGGTCCGAAAAGCCTCTAATTCCTGAGTATTACCACAGATACAAATGTAGAGGACATTTTGTTTAAGGTGGGCACGAGAAAGATGTGTCTAAGCTCTAACTACCTTCAGATCCAGACGTTATGACCCGCTTCAGTTTATGAATCAGACATCGGAGTAGCCCGCCGATGCCCGACAGCATAAACCACACCTGTTAACGGTAGCTCTTTCTCTATTAATAACGTGCACTTGTTACAGCTTAGATAATTTTAGAGACTCGGACTGAGTCCCAGGGTCATTATTTATCATAACTAAAGAAACGTCTGAAGCACCCCTTGTTTACTAGGATCATAAACATCAATTTTATGTCAATCAGAAGGATTAATATTTAGATGACTCAATTTAACTGTCCACAACATCAAGTTAGACTTTAATATTTTATTAGCAAGCTTTAGCAGGGGAAATGACATACAGCTATTCAAATCAAAAATTAGAAGTTTAATATATGTAAGATATTTAGAAATCAAACTTCCCTCTAGTCCCTATACTGTGTCGCAGAACTATAAGAGAGGCTTTGGGATGTAATTCCACTCGTCCCCAGATGCCGAGTTGGTCTTGGCAGCAGAAACTTAAACATCCATGGTTGGAATCCGTCTCGTCCTGGCAGAATCCTTTTTAGAATAGGTCCAAAGTCGAACTGGTGAGTATCCTCAATGAGCTCAGTTCCATATCCATAGGCGATCTTTGTCTATCCTCCATGTCTACTGCAGCATCTCTGAGTTGTTTCTTGGGTTGAGCGTAGGGCAGATGTCGAATCAGAACCCCGGGTTGTGGGTAAACAGATCTTGTTCCTTTCTCGAGCAGTGCGAAGTCTTCGTCTTCCCGTGGTTTCAAAACGTAGCCCTTATCTGATCCTGCATCCTCATGTGGTCTTGACTCGAAATCTGCGGAACGAAGAACGCCTGCCTTTCTCTCGCTTGCATTTTTATACTCTTCGTGCTCTGGTTACGTGCGCATCTGCGGCTTACACAATTCTCTACACTTCTGCATCTTAGTTGTGCATGCACTATCTGCTCGCAAAATCTCCTATTGCACAACTTTCCTTGACATCAACCGTCTTGGCTAACCGTTGCCTCTTTCCTCTTTTACGCCTGCTGAAGTTTCTATCCGCACTCCACATCTGGTGCTCCTAAAAATTTCACTTCCTGTTTCTTCTGTGCTCACAGCTCTCCTTCTCACGCAGCCTCTGATTGCAACACAGTACGGGACTTTCCATCCAACTTGAACCAGAACACTCATTTATGATTTATTTTCCATTTACTTCTTAAATCAAGCTCACATAACTCATCACCTTAATCAATAGTACATTTTAAAGTAAGGATTACTTTAGTTTTTAATCACATCAATCATAATACAGAATTTTCTTATTGCTTTCAAACTCATTACGATACGAGTTATATATGTTTTAATCAACATTAAATCATAATTCAAGATTAATTGTTACCCCCGGGTTTTTGTAACCTGTTTTCTGTGTGTCATGGAATGATCTCAACCAGTTCCAACCAGGTTTCACGACAAAAGGGCGACTTGGATCCAAAATGGCCGACTTCCTGTTGGGTTTGGACCATGCCTCCGAGAGACTTTTTTGTAGGTCCTCACAACTTACACATGTGTACCAAGTTTTATAATTCTGGGATAAAGCATGGCTGGGGGCTGATTTTTTAAAATATTCTAGGGGGGCGCTGTGGAGGAATTCGGCCACGCCCACCAAATATTCCACTGGATTCCTGTCGGGGGGTGGACAAGTATCGATCTCAGTGAGTTTGGTGCACCTGGGCTGAAACGTGGAATCTAGAGCCAAACGTATGGCGGCGTGACCTGTGACTTCGCTGCGCCGCCATGGCCACGCCCTCCACTGGAAACTCTTGGCGCTTTAAAGCAAGTGAGACCAACTTGTTATCAGTCATCTGACACAAGATCATTTTGATTAGGTCAAGAGAGCCAGAGTTGTATCTTTCCAAGTAAAAAAAGTCGCTTCCTGTTCTGAGGGGGCGAGGCTTAGGTGAGGTCAGACTATGATGACATAGGATCGTCAGGCATCCAACCAGGATCCCCCATACCAAGTTTGGTGCCAATTGACCTTTTTATGAGAAAGTTGTAGCGCTTCGTTTGTTTTGGCGAGTACGCCAAGTTCGCCGCTCTGCCACGCCCCCTGAACATATACGAAAAGTCAATTTTTTTTTATAACTTTTAAAGTCCCATGCCTTTACTGCATTCTGACCAAGAATGAAGCCGATTGGTCAAAAACTCGAGGAGTTTGTTAAAGTTCGACATGAGTAAAATCGAAAAATGGCCAAAATTTGACCTTTGACCCAAAATGGCCGCCTCCCTGAGCATTTAAGGGGGTACCTCCAAGAGACTTTTTTCTTGATTTGGGGAGATCTACCTACATACCAATTTTCAGATCTCTACCACCTACGGTTTCCCCCAACTCACATTAGGGGGCGCTGTAGAGCAGTTTGGCCACACCCACTTGCGATTCCACCAGAATTATTGTCATGATCAACAGTTAAAGAGTTAACATAAAAAAATTGCTTCTTAGCCAATGAGCTGCTTCTAAATGGTGCATTGTTGAGAAATGGCAGAGATCTTCATAGAGTTGGCAGAATGGACAATTCTTGTCAATGTCCTTTTAGTGTTGTTGAAGGGAAGACTTGCAGGGATAAAAACGATGGCCCATCTTAAAAGATACTTCTTTCTTTGATCTTAATAGTTAAATATTGAGATGGAGGACACCAGCTTTTTTTTTTTTTTGTATTTCAGGCTTGATGGGAAATTCTTTCAATAAGAGATAACTTTTGGAACATAGACCATGTTCTTCTGAAATAAGCATATACATCACGGTTGTTCTTTTGCTTTTTAGTGGAAAAAGATTTGACCAATATCAGCAGGGTAAAGACATGGTGGAGTCAGTACAGAAATTATAGAGGACTTAAAAAAACTTCATATTACTAGATGGGATAGCATCAAAAACAAACACGTATTCCTTTGGTGGTATGGGAATGGCAAATGTCTTTAGAAGTTCAGAATAAGACATTAAAGACCAGAAAAGAAGCATTTGTGTTGGGATTTGAGTTGTTTGTTTCATCCACCAGAGGGTGCTGGAGGCTGTTTTCCACCTGAGGGCGTCTGCAGACCTACGCACCTGAAACCATTCTGCCATCAGGAGCTGTATAACTGGAGGAGGCTGCCGACACTTCTCTGCCAGATTGTTAGCCAGTTACGGTATAGGTCACTACTTACTGATCTCTTCCAAGATTCTGATTCTCTTGTGTCTTTGACATTTTACAGCTGGTTGTCCAGTGATGCACTGGTGAATGCTGATTCTGCCAAAGACCCTTCTGGACCTACAGATCGGCAGTCCACCTCTAAGCAAGAACAGTTCAAGCTCCCAGACCTACCTGTCAGTCCTCCAACGCCGCCGCAGCCCTCCATCCTCAGCACCACAAACAAACTCCGGATTCCACAGGATTTCCCCCCAGTCCTTTACCCTCCCGACTGGAGGTAAGCTCGCCACCAGCACCGTATCCAAATTTCCGATGACCTCAAACTTACCATCTGTTTCTCTCATAGCTGACCTGAGTTCCAGCCCAAACGCACCTGGACCGTTTATCTGTGTTTCTTTTCCTGTTTGTTGTAATAAATCTCTTAAATCATTCCTGGTCTCTGGAGTTGATCTGCATGTGGGTTAGAAAGTTAGACCCCAACATGACAATTTGTATATAGTAATTACATAGCTTTATGGGTTTTTCAACATTGTAGTTGCAAAGCAGAATAAAATTAAGGCCACCAAGTTTTTAGAACAAATAATCAGGTATAAAATTCCAGGTTGAGGATAAATTTTTAAGAAACTTCAATCCAATTTATTTTCAACATAATTGTTTAAGGTTGAAAAATTAAGAAAATTTAGGCAACCAAGTTTGTATGAGTTCCATAAATGGGTTTCGTATCCTGTGGGATACAGAAATTTCATACGCTGTAGACAAGAGGGCTATCAACCACCTGCACTTCACATCACGAGATACATTTAAGTGTCTGAAAATCCTGCCTGATGGTACGTAGAGGCAAAGACTCTGGTGAGCTTTGGAGCCCCAGTTTCTGAGCTCCTGAAGGCAGGAGCATACTTCTTTTGGAACCATCATCCAAGACTGCATAGGTTTCCAGAGTTCTGACACCATGACGAAGGAGAACAGGAACTACTTTCATCAAAACTCGGCTGCCCTCTGTTGGTCGATCGAGATACAACACCCCTGTTGGATTCTCACTTCTCTCTTGGCTGGGTGATGCTGGTAATGGCCCCTTTGCTGAACCTGCGTTAACATCATGAAAACTCGTAAGTGTTGGCCCCGGCACAGGTTACAAGACTTCTTCAGGTTGCACTGTGCAGCATGATGTGCACGTGTACAGCGCCAACATCTTTTGTTGGTCCTTATCCAATCTGCCAGCTGTTCCTTTGTCAGTTGACTTATGGCTGCACATTGACTCAAATGGTGCTCTTTAACGTCACAAAAGGCACAATAAGGGGGTGGCTTGGCTTTATTCAGTGAACTACTTGGTGGTTTAATGCCTTGAGATAAGCTGTCCGCACCATGGAGCACAGCAACTGACCGTTTTCTGAATCTTCCTTCTCCTTTCAGGCTGTTTGGTTTCTCTCTTAGTCCTCTGGCAGGTAGTTGGCCATCATAATTTTGACACCAAGACTCATATTTTAACCAGTCAGACAAATCAATAAGGGTGTGGTTACATCCAGACTGCTTAACCTGTTGTTCACAGGTTGTCATTCACAATGACAGGGGTGTCAAACTCCAGTCCTCTGCTGTCCTGCAGTGTTTAGATGTGCCACAGGTAAAAAACAGTGGAATGAAATGGCTTAATTACCTCCTCCCTGTGTAGATCGGTTCTCCTGAGCCTTGCTAATGACCTAATTATTCTTTTCAGGTGTGGTGCAGCAGAGGCACATCTAAAAGTTGCAGGACAGAGGCCCTTGAGGACTGGAGTTTGACACCTCTGTCACGAGAGGACCCAAATTTGGGTCCTCTAGTGAATGACAGGTTAAACATGCATCTGCAGAATTCCACTCGCTGCTCAGGGGGTAACTTACTAAGCAGGCGAGCAACATGTGAGCCACAGTATAGCTCCACCTCTCCCTCAGGACCGAGCGTCTTCAGCATGCCAACCAGTGACTGAATCTGGAGAGAAAATTTCTCAAAGGCGACAACATCACCACGCCGGATGTCAGGTGAGTCCATCACAGCGGCAATCCTCCTCAGGGCCAGTTGGTGAGGCTGTCCAAACTTCTCATTTAAGGCCATCATGGTATCTGTAAATGGGGTTGAAGAGTGAAGGTACGCTTCCGCTACCAATCTGGCATCCTCCAACTTTAGATGGTCCACTAAAACTTGATATTTGAAGAGCTCTGGACTGTCAGGTGGNTAGGCCAATAATAACAGATTTTATTGTTGTGATAAACAATACTATTGTTGTTTTGAGTAATGGCATAATAATGCAAGCACACATTCTTAAAGATCAATACACTGTAAATTCTAATGAATATTTAACATTGGAACTGGACAACAACTCAAATATCCAAAATAAATAAACAAAACAAAAAAACAGGAACAAATAAAATTAATTATTGTAAACAATATTGTCCTTCAAATAAAAGTGAGAAAAGAGGAAAATGATAAATCATGTAAATGGAAACTATCGAGTTTAATTTGTCATTTAGTTAATTGATTTAAAATTCATAGTCCGATATCTATTGTGATGGGTGGCGATAATAATACATCATATGTTTTTGGTGTAAACTCTACAGTAAAATAAAATACAGATACTAATATTAATACTTTTTTTTTAATATGACAAAAATGCAGTTTTGCTAGAAGTACAAGTCCAGGAGACAGTTGAGTCCTGAATAATTGAATTTCGTGTTTATTTTTGCACAACCCAGATATATTTGATAATTTCCTGGGTATAGTTTTCATCCAGATTAATTATTTCTTCATAAAGAAGAAGCACAGTAATATCTACACTGGTTTTGGTTTTGTCGCGCTGTCAGAGGGGAGTTCCTGTGGTATCGACTTTATAAACAAACGGTCATAAAGTAACCCCACATGACAGCTGCCAGCCGGCCGCAGCCTTGTCACACTCCGCTCTCTAACCAGCCCTCCGCCCCTCGTCATTCATATCTGCTGACAGACCGAACGAGCAGCAGGGTTGCAGCAGATGTCCCGCAGTTTGTGATATCCAGAACCGTCGTGTGTCGTCCACCTGCCTGAATGTGTTTGTGTGGACTCAGCGTTCTGGACGGCAGAAACAAACGGTATCATCCGCTGTCATTCAGCGCGCTCCAGAGGATTCTCCCTGTGTGTGTTTATGACCAGATGTCTGAAAATGAAGCAGAGTATTGTCGAGACACTAGCAGTCAGCACATGGGATTTGATACTGTTCAGAAAGTTTTGTCTCTCTCTTCACTGGGCCTGTTTGAGCTTGAAAAGCTGACATGACTCAGAGTTGTGTCAAACTTACACAATTCACACCAGTTCATACTGTGGAAAATAATTTTCCATCTTTTAATTTATAATCAGCAGTTGTGCAACCACTAAAAGTAGAAAAAAAAAGCATATTTAAAATCATAAATATCTGCCTGGTTTGATTCTTCATGTCTGGTTGGTTGGTTGGTTGGATACATTTATAACTTTTAACCTACTTTTTTCATATTAATTACAATCACCAGTACATACACCTACGAACATTTTCATAATTTTATTTTAGTTAGTGCATTATAAGCCTGGCGGGCCACCAGGCTTTACTTGTGACCCCACCAGGCTAAGCGTTATCTATTTATTTATTTAAATTTTTTATGTCTTGCCTTTTCTAAGACTTTATTGTTGCTGTTTGGGTTTTGTTAAAGTCTTCCAATAACACATTTACCTAATCTTATTTTCAAATTCCCTGTCAACTTTAAACATATTTAAAATATTTTTTAACTCAAAAATGAAAAATGTTTAACTCAAAAACACGATGGGTTGCTTATGGCTGACCTAGCGCCCCAACCATGGGGGTTAGCAGGTTTTCTGCTAACCAACTAGCAAATGTTAGTCATGAGCATTTGCTGGATGCGGTTATTCAGGTCTGGAGTATTGAAATCTTCCACAGATAAGATCATTTCTGAGTTAATAGAAGTTTTACTGTGTCACACAGACCTCTGACATTTTATACAGATATGATGTTTGTTTGTTTTGGCTTATTACTTTTTTCTTGCTTAATATACATTTATCATTTTATAAAAAAATCACCAAAATGCCATTATTACATTATTTCAAACCTTATTTAGATGTTTTTAGTTTAGTTTTGGGTTGCTTTAGTAAACATTTTTAAGAGTTAATTAACAAACTAATTTTCACACTTCTTTGTTGTTTTTCTCATACTACATTTTATTTTTTTCATTCATTTTATTTTTTGATATTGACATTTTTTTGCCTCTATGGATAATCTTTAAGTAGGTGGATTATTAAGGTCTGGATGGTGGTTCACTGGTAGTTCAGAAAGTTAACATTTGTCATTTTATTTATTTATTTAACATGTTTTTTGTTAATAGTCATCAGTTGTTTAAATCATAAGCAAAAACTGGATTTGATTATTAGATTCTACTCCAATTTAGTTAATTCACAACTACTACAATAATGTGAAAGTTACAAAATCACCATTAGTTCCATTATTCTGACCTTTTCTTAGGATTTTATTTTTCATTAAAAGCTATAAACATTCTGGTCTGATTGATCAGGTCTGGTTCACTGGACTCTCCAGCAGAGGACACTGATTCTCTAAGCAGAGAGGCAGAAAAAGGTCAGCAGCAAAGAAGCTCTGGACAGCTGAACCTTTAAGCTGTAATGTAAATACTGATCAAATCAATCAGTCAATGTTTATTTGTATGGCACATTTCAGCAACAGGCATTTCAAAGTGCATTACATTGGAAAAAAACAGAAATACAACCATAAAACACAGTCAACAATTGAAACTTTGTGTTTAGTGCCAGGAATGTTAAGCTCTGTTTTTAAAAGTTGCATTAAAGTAAATAGACTAATTTTACTGTAGGTTTTCCCTCAGTGTCAGGAGATTAGCCGTATGAATTTCTTACCACCGTGTAAACGCCTGTATCTCATGCATATTGTAACCGAAGGGTGTCGAGGTTTTGGGGTCACGTCGTGGGTTAGGCAGCTGGTGTGTTGCCCATCTGTCAGCTGTTCTGCATGTATAGTGTTGTCTGCTGTTGTGTTTGTCGGCTGTTGTCTGTTGTAATCCTGTTACTTTCTCCAGCCAAATGGCACACTCCAGTTACAGCCACACGCTCCCAATTAGGTCCTTTAACTTCCTATACAATGTCATTAATCAGTGTTCACATTTATATTTTTATTTATTCATTTTCACAGATTCTGTCGTACTTTTTGTTGCTGTTAAAGACATAATGTTAGTTGTTTTACACATTTGTTGTGCAAAGTCAGTCCAATGCTTATCAGAAGAGCCCTTGAGTCTTTATGGGAGACACGCCTGCAAAGGGCTTGACAACAAGAGATTAAGGGCTTGAAATGCTCCTTGTACTTTATCTCTGAAGATGTCACAAGTAGACAGATTCATAGTTTTCCTGGTGGACATTTCGCCCTCCCACACCTGGAGCCACCAGGAAATAGCTTAACTGTAACTTATTTAAGTTTTAATTAAAATAAATAAAAAAAGTCACTCCAGGTTGCTTATATTTCAGTATAAAAATTAATATAAAATATATTTTAATGAATGAAAAATTTATTTTTTAATTTTGCATCATCTCAAAAAATTCAGAAAAAAAATCTTCATTTTTGTAAAACTTATTTAGCGAAGAAAAAAAAATCCCACACTAAATAATAATTATTTTTTTCAGGAAATTAAAAGTGTCACATTTATTTACAGCCATACCAATTCCTTTAACATAAATGTAACTATTTTTTTATTTATACTTTGAGGTTGATTAAATTATTCTGAAATCAGAGGCACTTTTAATTAGTAATCCATTTCTTCCTGTTTCCCTAGGACTCCCTCTAAAAACAATTGTAACTGCCTATTTTAACAGTTTAAACACCAAATATACCTTAATGTGCATCAACAGATTAAAAATAATTAATTGCAAATCTACACTTTTTCCCTTAAAATGTTACTTTGGCAAATAAAAACAGTACAGTGGAGCCATATTGGGACTACAACTACAGATGGCTACAAGAAGGTAGCTCCTGACCTAACCTTTTATCTTCATTCAAATCAGGAGGTAAAAGTAAAATAACAGGACATTTGGTATAAAAACAGGTCAGAGACTTAAATTAACTTGCCATCAGCAAGTCTCAAAGTCTCGGTTTGAAAACTGCAGCACATTTTTAGTGTGAGATGCAATAAAAGTAACTTTTTTTTAAAGGATTTTAAAATATTTACCAGGAGTTGCAGTAATTATTAGACAGATTACTTCTTAAGTTTAACTGACCTGTCAGTAGTTGTAAGCATAAAGTGAACAGATTTTGTAGCATTAATGATTACCAGTAATCATTAATGTAGCTGTAATAACACAAATCGCATGACGACTTGCATGAAAACTGATTATAAATGTTTTCAGGGTGTAAAGTATTCCTGGAAAACTGCCATGACACAGTTCCCGTGGGGTCAGTTTCCAGATCACAAGGTGAAAGTCAGCGAGTGCCAAGACTGCCGACGCACTAATGAACCCAGAGTTAAGGAGCTTGTCTGGCTGGATGCAGATCCAAAGGATTAGCTCCTGCAGCATGGCGACTCCTTCTTGCCCCACTGCAGGAGTCGGGAAACTTTAGGTTCAGCTTCGGCATCCAAATGAGATGGCGCTAAATTATTCAAGTGCATTTTTTCCACAGTTTTGACTTATTTGGAGGTTCATATTGTGGCAGGCTTTGTCTACAGACAAGAACTTCAACATCTTAACATCCTAAACAGGCGGTATTATTTAAAGAGTAGCAGTTTTTGTAGCACAATCTCACTGAAAATGTCAGAATCTATTTTAAAAAAATAAGTTAAGTTCCCAGAGTCTGAAAGAGAAACCGGCTCGTAGCATCACAGGTCCTAAGCCAAACTGTTTATCCACATATCCATTTTTTATAAACTTATCTGCATTGTTTTCTCCTGAATCTTAATCTCATCTGACTAAAACAAACGTTTCAATAGAAGTACTTATAGCGTTTAGTAATTGGGACTGACTTTGTTGGGACAATCCTCCCAAACAGCTTGTTGGCACATAGATGGTGTCCAACGCTTTACCCTCCATTTGCGGAGGGTAAAGTCTTAAAAAGCAGTTAAGGCCTTAAAATGTCTTAAAATCATAACAAAATATAAGTTGGCCTTAAATGTGTGAATCACAGGTATATTTACTGTAGTTTTTTTTTTCTTGTGTGTCTTTAAAGTTTGAGTCGTGTTTTGTGACTCGAGGCGGTTGAAGCTACCGCTAACTAGCTGCGAATGCAGCCTTGCTAGCTAGTTAGCCTTTTTGCATCTAACATGGGTTAAGTGCAGATTTATCCCTGGTTGACTGGTTGATGTTTGTTTTTGTCATTGTGCAGAAAGTTTGGCAGTATGGAGTTAAATCTATAAAGATCCGTGTGAGAAACACAAACTTGCTTACAGACTCCAGAAATTTCAGTTTTTGCAATGCTTGATTGTAAATGCTGCATATTCCTCAAATCATCTCCTACATTTATAGCTTTATCTGCATTAAATTTCACCCAAGGTGTCATTAAAAATTATTAAATTTGACTTGCTGAAACCTGAAGGCTTGGACATTTTCTTTTTCCTCTCTTCCTTGTCCCGCCTTTTTTTTTTTTTTTTTTTTTTTTTTTTTTTTACAGTTCCAGCTGGTCAAATTGTCAATCATTTGTCTGACCTCAGCTAAAAGCAAGCTCAGGTGAAAAACTTTCTTTTTTTCTTGTAGCTATTTGTTGACTTGCAAAGATTCACACGTTAGCCTTGCCTGCTTGAATAGCACGTTCCAGGGTTTCCCCCAGAAAACCTGCTAAGCCCTGTGGTTGGGGCGCTAGGACAGTCATCCAGCAACCAGTCGTGTTTATGAGATTAAGCATGTTTAAAATTGACAGGAAATTTGAAAATATGACTGCGTAATTGTAAATGTGTTATTGGAAGACATTAACAAAACCCAAACAGCAACTATAAAGTCTTAGAAAACAAAACAAACAAAAAAATAAACAATGCTAAGCCTGGTGGGGTCACAAGTAAAGCCTGGTGGCCCGCCAGCCTTATAATACACATAGGGAAACCGTGGCATGTTTTCTTCTCTTTGAAAAGTGGTAGAACGTCAAAGATTGTTAATTTAATATTCCAGACAATCAGATTATCCAAAAACATCACATATATATTATAAAAAGATGCTTCATTTACATTTATTTTATTATAATTTTTGAGTTGCCACCAGAATAGTTTTATTCTCAATGCTTCTGCAGTAATAGGGAAAAGATGAATTTGTTTGAAGGTTTTCTGCTCATCTTTATCAGGGGTGCCAAAAGGTTTAGAGGGTTGTGCATGCTGTGTTATGATTAGTGTGAATCTTTGGTGCAGTCAGTAATTTATTTAGCCCACTTCTCAGAAATGAAATGTGAGAACGATGTTGGTTAAACACGTTTCCAATGCTCTGAAAAGCGACATGTTGGTGAGTTTTAGCGGCTTCTCTGATTTGTTTAAAGAGTTTTACAGAGTTTAATGACAAACTTTGGTTCCTCTTTTCAGCCGACAGTGGATCTGTTTGTGGAAACAGATCAGAGGAACTCTTTGTGAAATTTAATACTAACTCTGATCATAAGCCTATTTGTGTCATTCCTGAACCAGTTACAGTTTTCGTGAAGAAATGCGGCACAAGCAAACACTCGCTCAGACACGACCAGAGAGATTTCCGTTGTTGAACACAAACTTTGAATCTCATTCCTCAGTTGGTTGTTTGTGTCTTACCAGCACAGACAGACTAAACACCATGGAAACTTTGTGCAAAAACTAAACTGAAAGCTGTCCAGCTGTTCACAGCCAACCTTAATTTGTTTAAAAATGCGTGATAAAATGCTGGAGGAATCTATTTTCTATCTTTGCCAGATTGTTGAAAGCTCACTTGAAGCATCTTCAGCTGAATCCAACAGTATGAGTCAGTTTACAGGAAATCCAATGATGCACTGCAACGTGTCAGATTGGAAAACTGTTTCGTGGAAGCGTTTCACAAACAGGCAAGCCGAGACACGTTTCTGGCACCGTGGTGCCCGAGATGCATCAGGTGCTTCAAGGATAGGATGAGCAAAAAACAAAAAATATCAACAAAACTATAAAGGATAGCCAAAGATGGATGCCTTTAAAATATATATGTGAGGAGTGGTCAAAAGATACTCGGTTACGTCTATTTCTGATATTTTAGCTTTGGAAGCATTTTTGCAGCCTAATAAATCTTTATTTGACCCAGAGCCCTACGAAAAATTTTAACTTGTTAAGATCACATATCAAGCTGGGGAAAATAGCTTTTGGGTTTTGGTTTCAAAACCCTTTGAGCCCCAAGTTTGACATCTCCAACTGGATATTGTTACTTATTTTAATTATACATAGTTTTTTAAATGTCCTGTGAGTAAATGTATTTCTATAAAATAACAGTTTTACCCAATTTTGCAATAATCCTGGTATTTTATATGAGAATGCTGCACTTGCCTTTATTTATATATGTTTGCGAGAAGGCAGTCATGTTCCTCTTTTCCTTCCTTCTATTTAACTGGAGGATCCTGTTAAAGGAGAATAATTTATCAGCTTCTCATGTTTCCACTGAAAACCAGAAAGAGGAACCGAGACGACTGTGGGGTTTTCTTTGAGATAAATACCAGCATCATTTTATTTAAACCTCTCTGAATTTTAGACCCTACTTCCACTGTAGATCCGGATCAGCTTTGAGAGAATCGTCTTATTAAAATTACAAAAATTTTTCTACCCAAATTCATTTGATTTCTGATGACTAAAAGAAATCAAAAGTAAATGATGGGATCTTTTCTGTTTATGATTGTACGGCTTGAGTGGCATTTGGAGGATGCTTCTTGTTTCTAGGTGGAAGTTGGTGTGTTTTGAAAAGAAAAAAATGGCCGATGCTCGGTGTGTGTGGCTGTTTGTGAACTTGGTGGGAAAACCTCAGTGAAACTCAAACCGAGGCTGTAAACAGAGCAAAGCAAACACAAACAGGAAATTGGCTTGTTTAATAGCGATAATGTTTATTTTTAAAACATTTCAGGAAGCAACATCAGAAAAGCACGCATCTTTTTGCATTTGTTTTACTGGGTCCATGTATGATTTTCTATATATCCAAAAATCAAAACTTCTGTTCGTACCAGCAGTCACATTGTTTTTGTACTCCAAATGCATTTTCCTGTTAAGCGTGTTACCAGAAAGGAGCAGAGAAAATTTCAGCACATTATGATTAACGGTTCTTCAGATTTTGCCAGACAGGTGTACCTTGAAACAAACCCACCTTTGAATGGAAAAATATGGGGTTTTTAAAAGCCTATTACTCAAAAATTAAATCAATTTACACTTATTTGTAACGGCATTCTCTAGATATATATAAATCACATTGCACAACAAGAAAACACACACTATAAATAGCTTTTAAAATTAAGGTTCTTCAAAAAATGTCATTTTGAAAAACAAATTTCAACAGCAAACATGGCATTTTTGGGAAACCATATTAACTAATAATAATGAATAAAAACTAGCAAACACACTAAAAATGAATTAAAACTAACTGAATTAGACAAACAAAATGTCACAATGAGACTAAACTAAAATAATAATTAAAAAAAAAACTATTATAACCCTGGTTCAATGCACAGCTTGGTGTTTAAATGTTCCCCGTATTACAAACGGTGACTTTAATGCTGGAAACAAAGAAAACTGTTCAACACTAATTATATATATTATACTGACACAGCGATCAGCTGCAAACAGGGAGCAGGTGCACTATAAAAACTAATTCATTTTAGAGGATTTAACTTTAGGGCTATAAATGCACAGATTTGAAACTTCATGAATCAGGAACAAGAAGCGTTGAGGAATGTAATTCAGTCGTCTTAGCTTGAGCTTTTCTTTTCTTTCTTTTATCTGTCCCAGGTTTCTCACGCTCTTGTTGCTCCTCTCGCTCGGTGCTCGTTCTCAAAAGCTTTTCCTCTCTGAGGCGTTTGTTGGTTCGCATAGTGAGGACCTTAAAGCAGTGGTTGGATGAACTGCTGCTTTGGATGCTTCATTTTGTGCTGCATATTTTAGTTTTAAACAGAGTAACAACAGTATCTCTCTCTCTCTCTCTTTCTCCCCCTCTCTCTCTCTCCCTCTTTGCCCCTCTCTCCCCCCCTCTCCCTCTCCCCTCCTCTCTCTTTCTCCCCCTCTCTCTCTCTCTCTCCCTCTTTGCCCCTCTCTCTCCCCCTCTCTCTCTTTCCCCCCCTCTCTCTCTCTCCCCCTCTCTCTCTTTCCCCTTCTCTCTCTCTCCAGGTAATGAGGGATGGAAGCGGGCTCGGTGGTGCGCGCCGTCTTTGAGTTCCTCCCCAGCGTCTCGGAGGAGCTCCCGCTTTTCCCCGGTGATGTCATCGAGGTGCTGGGCGTAGTGGATGAGTTCTGGTTGCTTGGCAACAAAGATGGCGTCACGGGTAAGTTTTCAACGGGTTTTATCGATATTGTTCCTTCCTTCCTTGTTTTCTTCTTTCCTTCCTTTCCTGCTTGCTTGCTTTTCTCCTTCCTTCTTTCCTCTATCCTTCCTTTTCACCTCCCTTCCTCTTCCTTTTCTTCCATCCTTCCTTTCTTGCTTGCTAGGTTCCTTTCCTTATACCTCCCTCCTTTTTTCCTTCCTTCTCTCTTTTCTGCCTTTCCTCCTCCCTCTCGTCCTTCCTCCTTGTGTAAATGTATCATCATGTTGCTCTTCAGAAACTATTCTTCATGTTTTCTATGTATTGACTGAAATCATTCTGCTGCATTGTCCTCCTCCTCTTCCTCCTCTTCCTCCTCTTCCTCCTCCTCCTCCTCCTCCTCCTCCTCCTCCTCCTCCTGTCTCCAGGTCAGTTCCCCAGCACGTTTGTGGAAGAGGTAACGATTCCCGGCACCAAGCCAGGAGACAGACTCTATGTTTGCATCAATGACTTCAGCTCAGCTCAGTCCGGCGCTCTGCCCTTAAAGAGAGGTACTGCTGCGTTTCACTCTCTCACAAACACGTTTAACTGAATGAAAAAGCATTTAGAGATCCCTCCACATCTCATCTGATGTACATTAAAGCCTGTTTTTCACACAGTGTCACTGTTTACATTAACAGCTGTTGTTTTCTCAGTTTAACGCTTCTTGTTGATGTCCGAGAGTTCAGGTAAATTAGTTGATTTCTGCTTTTCTTTTTTTGTCCTGTGCTTAAATCTTTCTCTTCACATTTAGACTTTACTGATTTATCCTTACCTGGCTTTTATTGAGTCACCTAGAAAAGATTTGAAGGAAGGTTGGAAATGGTTTTAATTGTTAATTCACCAAACTGTCCACTAGATGGCGATCAGAGGCCGACTTGTTCGTTCTGATTTTTCTTTCTGATGATTATTTAGGCCTGTCGCAATAAGCAATAAGTCAGTTTATCAATTAATCGCATGATAAATTAAAACAAACTTAATAATTTCCATTTGTATGGTTTATTGTTTTGTTTCTTTTGTCTAATAAAAATCTTCAATCTGGTGATTTGGTTCTTTTGAAGGGCGATTTTGTTTACAGAGACTCCATTACTCATTATATTTGATGTTTTGTTGATTTATTTTAGATTTTTAAAATGTCCTCCAGTTCCACAGTTAAATATTAATTTTAATTTAAAGTTTATTGATCTTTGAGAGTGTGTTCTTGCATTATTTTGCCTTTAAGTTATAATACTTGATAATGGATTCCAAACAACATTATTGTTTATTGCAATAACTTCTGGGACAATTTATCGTCCAGCAATATTCGTTATTGTAACAGGCCTAGTTACCAGCTGTTAGTCTCTTTTCAGTAAAATCTCTGTTTTACGTTGTAGAGCAGCTCCCAGTCCTACTGTTGTTTTGTGCTTTTAAATGTTTAGATTTCTAACACAAAATTAAAGCCAGTGGCAAATATTAAAATTATTTAAATATTTATTAAGTTTCATTGTGAGTTATCTTTTTATTTTGACTATATCATCTAAGCTTGAACTGCTCCTCTTCCCAGCCAACCATTCATCACATTATCTGCATTAAATCTGAATCCCTTTCTCTTGCTCCATCAAAATCGCCAGAAACTTTAGTGTTTTAAACGACAATCAGCTGATTTTTAAGGTTGATGTTGCTTCGCATTGTTAATCAGTCAGTCTCTCCTTGTTGAGCCTTCACCTCAACCACCTGGATAAAATTGAAGTAGCTGATGTTAGCTTACTCAGCAGAACGACTCCCATCTACTTTAACGCTCTGAAAAAGGCTTATAAGCTGACCGGGTCTCTCCCGTTGCCAAAGGAAAGTCGGCTAGCAGTGCTAACACGACGCTCAGGACAAACCAGACTCTGTGTGTCGTTTCACAATGGAGAAATGACCTACATACTGCAAACATGGTTTATATCTTTAAGAAACTCTTGAAAACCAAGTTCAACGACCCAGTTTACTTCTGTCAGACGTAGTTTCATTGTGACCTTTTGTTTGTCTAATTTAGTTAGTTTTAATTAGTTTTTACAGTGTATTTGCCAGTCTTTATTAGTTAAGTAGTGTTTAGTTTCTTAGTTTTTATTAGTTTAAGCGGGGAGTTTTCTGGCCGATCTTTAGAAAACCTGACTTACTCATTCCGATTTTGGCTGATATCTTTTTTTTTTCTGTCTGAAATGTTGGTAGATACAGCGAACCCTCGTTTATTATGGTGGTTATGATCCATAAATAACCTGTGATAGGCGAAATCCTCGGAAGTAGTCAGCTTTATTTCTTACAATTATTATACACGAACGAAACCAAAGATCAGAACCTGTTTTCAGGCCCAAATACTTGTTTAAGAAGTAAAAATAGAAGCGTTTTCTTACAAATAACTATGGTAGTTTTTAGAAATACTGTAAAATAATAATTTCAGTAATCAAACAGTGAGGTAGGACACATTGTGGCATTTCCTCTTTGTGCTGACTCCGCTTCGCTGTGGCGTCTTTTTCTACTGAAAGCCGCAGCGCAAAGTGTCTTTTTCGGAGACGACGCCTCCAAATGTTATTTTCCTCTTTCTTTATAGAACGAAACAGAGATTCATTTATTCCATAATGGCACACTGCAGCCGCGTATCTTCTACACCAGAAGCGACAGTTCGCGTCTTCCTCTGCCTTTTTGGCTCGTCTGCAGCTGCCATATCGGTGCAGAACATTTCATCGACATTCTGGATTTTGTCGTAATCGAAGGATCACATCGGCTTCACATCTCGGCCGATCACCAATCTCCCAAAACGAAGGAAACTCGTGCCAAAAAATGTTCATACTTTGGTACATTTTTAGGTGCAGAATTCAAATTGGTCAAAGTATTCTACTGGGATTATGTTTACATTGATTGGGCAATGAAGATCTACAGAAGATACCATTTTCAAAAAAATCTATTCAGCTGTTGAACAACAACTGTCTGGGTGTTTTTTCGCAACTTTTGCGGATTAGCGTAAGCGCCGCCAGGAGGATTATGGAGTCACGTAGTTTGCCGACAGCTGACGTAAGCTGCTTGTGTGAGGAAACAAAGAATTTCACATCAGTTTGAAAGGCTAAAAACAAGATTCAGAAACACAAAAATGAAGGACATTATATCTATAATTTCAGTTTGCTTTAGTTTTATAAATTCACAATGCAGTTCCAGTTAGTTGTAGTTTTCCCCCATTAATTATCATTTTTATTTATTTCAGTTAGCAAAAATGTCATCTTCAGTTCAGTTTTTGTTATTTTAGTTAACCTTCGGTATAACCTGACCAGTGGTCGTCCATCTTTGTTGCTTTTATATGAATTGCATTGTTAAATCCTTATTTGTAAGTCAAATGCATAAACGTATAAAGTCACTAGTAGTAAATCATGCATGTGTTGAAAAGTCATTGACAAACAAACACTTGCCGTATCAGAAGATCCATAGGAAACGGTCCAGTTGTATTTCCTGTGGTTCCACTGGCTGTGCTCCAGTTTCGGACCCGGACACAATGGGAGGTGGAGCCGCCGTTCTTTGGAATGTGACCCCTGTGACTTCTTGCTGACCAAACAACATTCTTATAATCCCTCAGTCCCAGTACATCCCATTAAAAGTTATTAAAATGCCTCACAAAAGATGATTCCTTTGATATCCTGACACAAACCTCTGGAGAAATGCCAGTTTGGTTAAAATAAAGCAAAACAAAGTCGACTAATCAATAAGAAAGGACTTTTTGTTGTTGTTTGGCGTCAGCTCTGAAGGTGTTTCCTTCTGCATCTTCAGCATATCTCATACAATAAAATGTAAAGAAAGAAATACTCTATTAGCTCCAACAGTATCATGAAGACCAATGAACACAGGAGAGAAAGTTATGGAGAAGCTCTGGCTAATCCATCATCTGAAAATAAAAGAAGAGACTACAGCACAGCTGCATGCCTCCTAAATATGGGTTTCCATCTAGAGTAACAGAGGTTTACAGTAACTCTGGGTAAGGTGATTGAGTCCGTCAACAGGAAAACTGTCACTCATGCAAAGAGGGGTATGAAGAAAGCCGCAGTTGAAAAGGAGCCATTTGCATATTTTCCATCACCCAGGCATACGGAGGGGCTTTGGTGAGGAGGCAGATAAAGGAAACAAGAAAGCTTTTTGGAGGTGATGGAAAATACATGGATATAAATACAGAAATGACATAAGACTGCATTGGAATGGCTTCCCAGAAAACAAA